GTGGGATAGGAAGAGAGAGGAGGTATCGGGCAGAGTAGCCCCTGAGGATGACCAGGAAGTGTAGGAGGGGTGTCTGAGTTCCCTGTCCCGGGCTGCTGCCGTGGTCAGAAACTCACTCACCCCAGTGATGTCTCTCCTGGTGCCTGGACCGGAACTCCTTGCTGCTAGGTGTCTCGTAAACAAAGGACCTACCTAGCTTGCTGCAGGCAGGCTAGTGGGGACCAAGGAGCTAGCACCCTCCCGTTTGCCCCTATTTTTGTTTTAAAGGAAGGTAACTGTGTCAACTGGGCAGCTTTATGGAACATTGATTATAATGGGGGAGATGGGGAGGCACCTATAACCTGGGGAAGCAAGTCAGAGGGCACCGAGAAACAGTGGGGGTAAGACATTACATTGCAGCCTAGTAGCTGCTTAATAAAATAGAGTAGTTACAGCTCAGCCCTAAGCATCAGCCGTTCTGTCTGTTGTTTGTACTTGAAGATTTTGTACAGGTCTAAGTATTTCAGTATACTGAAAAGTATTCTGACAGTCTCAAGGCTCTTTAATGTCTTTGTGAATGAAAAATTGAAATAAAAGGAGGAGGACATGGCTACTCCTAAAGTATGGAGAAGATTTTATCGTAGATGTAAGGGAGAAAGCAGGTAGAGGGAAGAGTCCAGGCCGAACATGGCTGGCAGTCTAAACTGGACCATGAGAGGAAAGATGTGGGGAGGGAGAGCAAGAGAGGAAGCCACCACCCAAGAGGCCGGAAGAGCAGTAGCCCAAATGGCTTTTATACCGCGATCAGGCTGGGAGAAGGGAAGTGGAAGCCCCGCCCCTGGGAGGGGGGCTGGGAGGAGCCACAGGTACAGAGGGATTCTGGGAGAACTGGGAGGAACTTGTCCTGTCTCTGAGACTTAGCAGTCTCTAATATGTGAATGTTGGTGCAGATACCTGCAGAGGCCAGAGAAAGCTCACAGGTTGCATCCAGGGAACTGAGCTCGGGTCCTTTGTAATAGCAGTGCATGTTCTGGACCACTGAGTTGTGTCTTCTTTTGTCCTTTTGCAAAATTTGCATTTGTTTGTTTGCGTGTGTTTTGATTGTGTTTTCCATGTGCGCATGTCGAGATCAGAGGAGAACTTGCCAGAGTTAGGTTTCTGACATTGGTCCTGTAACACTTTGTTGTCTCATTCTTATATTCTGTTTCTCTGACATGGACACCTAGTAAAGTAGCCACGCTTTGATAATGGCCACTACAAGATGCGTCCTGTAGACAAGCCGTCCTCTGAACAAACTGCGGTTCTTCTAGCTCTTCTCCCCAGGCCTATTTTCAAAGCATCTTCTCTCTCTTTGCCACCCATGGGTTGGAGTTATTAATTTTTTCTCTTTTTTAGATTTATTTATTTTATTTCATGTGTGTGGGTGGTTTGCTTGCATGTCTGTCTCTGCACTACATTTGTGCCTTGTGCCTGTGGAGGCCAGAAGAAGGTGTCAGATCCCATAGAACTGAAGTCACAGTAAAGCTACCATGTGGGTATTGGGGATTGAACTTGGATCCTCTGGAAGAGCAGCCAGTTCTTTTAACCACTGAAGCATCACTCCAGCCCCTAGAATAATTTTTTTAAAATAATTTTAATTAGATGAAATCCTGTCTACCACATCTTCTCTGGTTGTCCCACTGCGATCTAGTCCTCCTTTGAAATTTGTTTATATAAAGTTGTGTGCAACATAGTTTGTGCTGTTTTATAGTTTAACCCATTTGTGTTTTCTGTGATTTTGAATACTCTGTCTCTTTTGATTTAGGTAAGTGTAGGCAGAAGTTTCTGTTCTGGAAGCTGCTCCCAAATAACTACATAGAGGCTTAATATTAATTATAAATGCTCGGTCAATAACTCAGGTTGTTACTAATTCTTACATTTTCAATTAACCCATATTTTTATCTATGCTCTGCCACATGGTTTGGTCCCTTTTCTCAGTATGGCATGTCCATCTTGTTTCTTCTTTGTCTGCTTGCTTCCCTGACTCTGTCTTTCTTCCCAGCATTTTCTCTTTGGCTCTCCCCCTAACCTTACCTCATTCAGCTATTGACCAGTCAGCTTCTTTATTAAACCAACCACAGTGACATATATTCACACAGAGTAAAGGACTCTTCCACAGATACTGTATATACCAGTGTATGTAGCATATATTTATTTAATAATCAGTAATTGTAATATAGTTTATTGTTTGATTCTAAGTTTTTCTATAAACAACTTGTGTATAAACAGCTTATTTTTCTCTGGAAGATTTAAACTGTCAGTTCAGAAATACTCTTCAATTGTTAATGACATTGATTGAATATATACTGTTTGTGTAAATGGTTTTTTCTCAAGAACGGTATGAAGAACAACATGAAAGAAAAAATATCCAGCTTGGCTTAATTGAAATTTACATCATTTTGAAGTTGAGCATTAATAAAAGCAGTTATATTTAACATGTTTTGTTAAAGGAAAATTCTTCCATTTGTTTCTAATATTAAGTAGTAAATACTTCTCCAAAATGAAGCATTTTTTTTGTTGGGAATCACTTGAAACACTTGGGCCTCCTCTGGCTTGTAATCTTGTTAACTTTTCATCCGTGAAGTCAAACCTAATTATACACAGTTGCTGGGCTCTAGCTGCAGATGACTCAATGTAAATAGAAGTTAACTCATTACTTTTATTAATTGAAACATGAAATGTTGCGAATACTTTATATTAGGATTTAGAAAAAAAATCTTTGCATATGGACTGAACGTAAGTGTCCTTTTCTTCAGCCCCTATGTGGTGAAGTACTATGGCAGCTACTTTAAGAACACAGACCTCTGGATTGTCATGGAGTACTGCGGAGCTGGCTCTGTTTCAGACATCATTCGGTTACGAAACAAGACAGTAAGTACTTAATATTGCTTGTTAGTCTTATTTTAAAGGTTTCACTTTAGACTCTGACTCGTATTTTGTTACAGAGAAAACATTAATGTGAGAAAGGGGGTTGAGGATAGGCATACATCTTTCTAAGGCAGACTGAGACACCGGATGACCTCTCAGGTCCTGGGGACCAGCCATGGCCCTCCTGTCCTTCGAGAGTCAGTATAAGATAGGATAAAAGGGTAGAATCTACTCTGAAAGAGAAAGGGAGAATGTAGATAAGCTAGAAAAGTAGATTATTGAATCTATTTTTAAAAAGCAACTACTAGTTTTAAATGTTTTATGTTGGTTTGGACTTTTGCACATTGTATTCAAATTTTATATATTGATACAAATTTGAGATTAATTTTTGAATGTACTGTATATTCATTTCTACTCTTGTTAAAGGTATTGTACTTATACAACTCATTTAAAATGTAATGCAAATTTTTAGTCCTTGAAAATTATTATTACCGATTGTTTAGGAAATACAGGTTAGTAGTTAATCACTTATTATAATTGAACTTGTCACATTAGGTACGTTTTCAAGGTGAAACAAAGATATAATTTAAATAAGTCATCTTCAAACACTTCAGAGATCTATAGAATATGGCATTTCAGATGCTTTAATAACATAGCCTCTTTTTTCTGTTTTTATGATAATGAGACATGTCTGCTACTGACAGCACCAGTCTACTTTAGAGAAGATGATGGGCACCAACGAAACTCCTAATGGAGTTTGCTTTCTTTGTGGCAAATATAAGCCACTGGGCAAGAAACTGCCCTTGTTTTAACTACTGACAATACACAGTCCTAATTAGACAAGCAGGACACTTGAGAGTGTCTCTCAAACCTTGCCAAGACAAGGTAAGACAGTCCTTCAAAACCCTTATTTTATAGAAAAGTCTGTCAGATATTCTAGGCCCATAGGCTGAAGATGACTCCCCCAATATTGAAGAGGAACTTTGGGTGACTATCCAGGCAGCCAACTGTTTCTGTCATTTCTCACAATTTTCAAAAGTTGCTTGCCTGCACTTCTTGCTTAGTTAATATTATTTCCTTCTTGGGTCTCTGAGGGAGTTGAGGACTAGATAGTTATAGTTTTCCTTGTTTACCAGACGCAGAAAGCAAGTTATGATATAAATTAAATTAGGTACAAGATTTTGGGCTCACAAGGTAGGCTAGATATGGAGCAGTTTATCTGAAGTTGTCAGATGCAGATGGACCAGACATTATTGATACATTTATTGCCTGTATATATTGTATATAGTTGTTGTATATAGTTTTTATTGTATTAGTTATAGCCTTTTTATTTTAGGCAGGAAAGGGGAAATATAGTGATATTTCCTTTGTATTTTAATAAATAAAGCTTGTCTGAAGATCAGAGAGTAAGACAGACACACTGGCCAGCCATACAGAGCAGGCAGTGGTGGTACATACCTTTAGTCCCAGTAGCCACACTAGTTAGCTGTAGAAGCTGAGCAGTGGTGGTACACACTTTTACTCCCAGCAGCAGAGAGGAATTTAAGATGGGAGGAGACATCTCAGTTTCATTCTGTGATTCCTGGAGGCAGGATCACCATTTTGGTCTGAGGTAGAGGTAAGAGCAAGTTATTGGCTATTTTCCTTTTCTGATCTTCAGGCTGAACCCCAGTACCTGACTCTGGGTAATTTTTATTCATACTGCAATTATATGCTTAGTAATCTGAGTACAGTAAATGGTGACTGGACTCCTGCTTAAACTTTATGACGTTCATTACATTTCCTCATCTTAATTTTTCTATATTACCATTTATAGTTGGTAAATAGTTGAAGTTATTTTTTCTGCATTTTTAAAAATAATTGAATGTTTTTCTTTTGGTTTTTCAATGTCCAACAGATGTGTGAAAATGAGAATTCTAGATACCACACACACGCACGTGCACACACACACACACACACACACGAAGTGAGTTTAATGAATGTACTACTTAACAGAACCTAACATCTAAGGCTCAGTGACCTTTTAATGTGAGTGGCTAAGAAAAATTATCAGTGAAATGATTTGTAATTCTGTAGAACAGTAATTCAGTTTCTATATGATGCTATTGCTGTCACACATGTCTCAGTAAAATAAATTCATAAAAAGTACATAACTACTTGAATCAATTTGTGGTTAACCAGAGTCATTTTAAAGTTTTGATTGGTGAAATACTTGAACATTTATTCCAGTTTTTTTCTGTGGAGAAAATAAAGTAAATAAGATTTTTTTTAAAGGAAGTGAAATAGAAGTTTAAATAATCCCTGTTTTGACAGAGGATCAAATCATCTGTGACATTTTAATTATCTTAGGATTTCCATTGTTCTTAACCAGCATTTATGTAAATCAGGTGATTCTTGAGTGGCAGAACAATTGAAATAATTACACTGCAGTTAGAGGAGTGTTATAAATAATTACCCTGTAGTTAGAGGAGTGTTATAAAATCATTTCAGAACCAACCTCACTCCATTTGGTCCTAAAATGACCAGATGAGAGATGGAGTAGAAGCATGTGAATTAGAAAATTTTAAACATCTATTTTCATGGTTTCAGAGTATTAATGTTACTATTTTGAGTACAGAGTAGATAGTTAATTCAAGAAGTTTCTTTTTTGTACCAATAATTACACACTGTCAAAGTACAGTTCTTATAGATGGACGTGGATGTGACCACGATCCTGAAGAATTGGCTTTACCACTTAAACTCTGAGAGGTCCTGCCCCTTCATGCCCTTTGTAAGTAAGGACTCAGCCCCCTGGCATGTGGGATCCCCGCATTAGAACAGTCCGGTTACTGTCTCCACAGGGCAGTTTAATATCTATACATGAAACAAGCCTGGAGCGGCACAAGAGATCCCTCGGGCCTGTGGGTACCGTGTTTGCCTGTCACTGCGTTTGGCAGTGTGTAAGTTCTCAAGATCATTAGAAGACTTGCTTTCTAGTACAAGGCCATTTCCATATTTATTATTGAAAGGACTATAAATACATGTTTCATTTCTTTTTTGAGGTGTTGGGAATTGAACCTAGCCCCCCCCCCCCCATCAGATTGACTCTAGTTGTTTTCATAGTCATAAAACAGTGCTTTCCTGGGAACGTGGCCACTTAGGGTTTATGTGCTGTGTTGTTTTTTGTTACTATGTAATTCCAGTACATACATATATATGTATATACATAAACACTTGGTGTTTTATTTAAGTTGGCAATGTTTATAATTGGCCATGAAGTTTTGCTTTAATTGCTTTTTATTTCTCTCCACATTTCCCAGTTTTTGCAGAACAGAATTTTTTTTTTTAAATGTGTAAGGTGGTGATAAAGTCTTAGTGTTTTTTGAAATATATTTTCAAATCTGAGTTGCATTTATTCTTTTCTGTGGTACTGGTGACGGAATATCAGTGACCCCTGCGTGCTGCGTCAGTTCTCCAACACTGAGCTGCACCCAGAGCCCACCCTCTCTTTGTAAATCTTGCTTGACAGTTTCTTTAGCATGGAAAATGCTATCGCCTGACTGTCTAGCTTCTTCGTCTCTTCTACTAAGTTTTGCTGTTGCTTCTTTGAAGATGATCTGTTACTATTTTTAGGATTTAACCTTTGGATTTCAGAAGCTTTACTTTGATGTACCTAGAATAGGCTTTAAACACTTTTTGCAGGTATTTATGTCTTGTTTTGATGAATCTCATATCTATCATCTATCTATCTATCTATCTATCTATCTATCTATCTATCTATCTATCTATCTATCTATCTAATCTTTTTGGAATATATTCCTTGTTTTTATGTACCTAGTATAGTGACTTTATTGATTGGTTGATTGGTATTTAGCCATTGTAGAGTTCTTACATTTGTTTTGGTTTCCTTTCTGACTTTAGTGCTGTTGCTGAGGCCTCAGTATGCTAACTAGGTGTTTCCCTACCAGCTGTTTGCTCAGGGCATCTTGTTTCTGCAACTTGATATTTGCCATCAGTGTTGGGAGCCTTTTAGCGTCTGTTACCTACACAGTGCTTGGGCACCCTTACCCTCTCCTCTGGAGTTCTCAGTGTGCACATTTAGTTTAGGTTTTTCTCCTCTCTCTCTCTCTCTCTCCCTGCCTCCCTTCCTACCTCCCTCCCTCCCTTCCTCCCTCCTTCCCTCCCTCTCCGTTCCTCATTTCCTTTCTCCTTCCTTTCTTTCTTTCCCTGTCTCAACCTGTTGTGAGTCTGATTCTGTGATCATTTATTTCTTTCTTGATTTTTATTGTTTTGGTCTGTGTCTGGTTATCTGTGAAATAGTGTCTCCAATCCCATCATTCAGGAGACAGAGGCAGGCTCTATTAATTCTTGAACTCTGTAAGTTCAAAGCTAGCATGGTCTACATATTGAATTGTGGGCCACCCAGGACTATGTAGTAAGATTCTGTCTTAAAAGCAATGGAGCTGAGGGATGTAGCTTATTGGTAGGTGCTTCATCAGCACGCATGAAGCCATAGACTTAATCCCTGTGATAGCAACAGCAACAAAAATAGAAATAAAAATAGTAGAGATGATTTGGATCTCTGAATATTGATGTCTTCTTCCACCAAAGACTTTTTGCTTGATTCTGCCAGGTAGCAATTCTGGACCACATTAATTCAATCTGAGCAGAGATAATATGGATGTGGGTTTTAGCCTGCTTTCACATCTAGGGTATAGAGTATAGTTGGTCTTTCTCGTTGGCCCACAAATAATGACACAGAACCTTATCACTAATTATGAGAGCTCCGCCTTTAGCTTGGACTTGTTCCCCACGAGCTCTTTAACGTAATTAACCTGTTTCTGTTCATCTTCATCCTCCATTTGGCTCTTTATTAAACCAGTCAGAAGGTGCCTTTTACACAGTGTCACCAAGTATCCTGCAACAGTAGGGCTGAGTGAATTCTTGATAAGTTTGGATTTCTAATATTGTTCCTCCCCATTCAGAATTTGTTTTTTGTCTTTGTCTTCTGGACTTTATTTTTT